TAATCCAATTGTTATAATTATATTACTTTATTAAGAATCAATTTTTTTTGTTGTAAATAAATAATGATAGCATAATAGAAGACCTATGATGTAAATTAACAACTACTACTTGTTTGCTATATACCTTCAACTTTATGAGTATTATGAGACTTGTTGTTGAACAATTAGCAACATAATTTTATTGTTGTTTTAAATAATTAAAATTATCTATGAAATCTACCTCCTGACAAGAATTTTTTTTTGTTTTTTTTAAAAAAAATTATCCAGAAAATGCTTTTAAACAAATTTTTCATCTAATATTTTAGCTGAAATATTCGAATATCTAGAAGATGATTACAAATCATTATATTCTTGCATTTTAATTAACAAACAATGGAATGTAATTAGTATTCCCAAGTTATGGAGAAATCCGTTTCATTCAAAAAGAAGCATTCGGATGATAATAAGTTGTTTATTAGTAGAAGACAAGGAGTTTTTAGTTAAAAATAAACCTGAATTAAAATTTCTTAATTTACCAAAAGAACCACCATTATATAATTATGCTAAATTTGCTACCAAATTAGATTATAATAGGATTTCTACTTTTGAAAAATATCTCTGGAGAAAAAATAATTTTGACCTGTTAAAGATGATTATGAAGTTCATTTTAAAATATTCAAAAATCAGAGAATTTACTAATCATTTCGGAGAGATGGACTGGGATTGGTTAACTGAAGATCCTAATTTCAATAGTTGTTTCTGTAAACTTAATGAACTGATCATAGGTTTCTCTAACAACCATAAATTTATTAAAAGGTTAATTTCTAGTAGCAAAAATATAAAAAGTATAAAAATATTCTTAAATTATTGCACTTCAGACAACAGAGAATTAGCCGAACTAATAAAAGCACAAAATAAAATTTCGAAACTGACCTTTTTTGGTTACTATAATTTAATCTTTTCAGATTATTTCAAAATCTATAACTTTTTATGGAAACCATGGAGTGTAGGTAAATGTGTGTATTATCTTTAAAGATTAAAGAAATCAAATAGATTTGATAAAAAAGAATTGGTGCGGTTTGTTTGGCTTCCTTGGCTTATTACGAAATTATAAATGTGAATGCCAACTTCAATCGTTCAGTCAATAAATTATAAAATTCATTTTTATTAAAGTAGTAAATTATATATGTATACATAAAATCTTTAAAAGATTAAATTAGATAATATAAATAAATCAATAAATATCAAAGCATGTTTTCTGTGATTATTGTGCTTGTACTTTTTTGATGAAACATTTCAATTTTCTTTTTTGTTGGATATATAATTTTTATTGTTATCATTATCATCAACTATTAATCTAGATTTTCTTTTGCTAACTATGGATTTTGAAACCTTTGATTTTGATTTTCCATTATCATCTTTGTCATTGTCATCAACATCCATAATATTTGATTCATGATGATTTCATTCTATTTTCCTGGTCAGCATTTATGAATTCATTCCTTCAATCATTTTCAATTTATCAACTAAAATTTCTCTTCTTTTTCATACTTAAACAACTTCTTTATTAATACCAACATGTTATATCAACAAGATAATTGTAACCTTTGATGACTCTATTGGTTTCAGTGTTAGAACTTTCTTCAGATGAATCATTATCTTCTTCAAGTTGTGATTGTGGCTGTGTTTATTTTGTGGAATTCATTTTTTTCTAAAAGCCTAATGATTTCAAAATTTAGTGTTCCATATGAATAATCATTATTTTATTTTGCACTTTATTCACAACTTGTTTGAATTTTTTAATCAGGTGCACCTATATATATATAGTCAGTAAAGTACTATCTAAGATCCAGATAATATATGAAATATGTTGATAACTTACCCTTCTCTTTACATAGTAGATTAACTATGCTTGATAATGTTCTTTAAGAATATTCTCAGGAGTATCATGCCTGGTTAATTTTTTATTTGAATCAAAATACATGACATTAGTTTTGCTAATTTAAAAACTTTTTCAAGACTATCATTCCGGCCTTTCCATCTGTTCAGGCATTAATTCAATTTCAATATCAACTTTTTCTGTGAAATTACTTCTAAAACTTTTGATTGGACCGTTTTCATTAAGATTGTAAAGAACTTCTGAGATGCAATCTTGAGTCCATCTATGAACTGGCGATCCTGAAATTTGTACATGGGTATCGCTTGTTTTAGAAAGAATACATAGGATTCTTCCACAAAAACTATAATACCAAGGGTGCATTGGGAATATTGGTACTCCAATCTAATCCTATTCCTTAACAAGAATCATTGGAAATTGTTGGAATGTACCATTCTGGTTCAATACTTTTTCCATCTTCATTCAAATATTTTGAGTAGAATCATCTGAGTAAAAAATCTTACATGCAAATGTTGCCAGCCTTGTGACAATACACATGTAAATCACATGTTTAGGAATTCTCGCGTTTGAATTCTTATTATTAAAAAAGCTCATTGATATTCCATATTTCATTAAATTTACTCATATGACTGAAGTTGATGATAATGGAAATAAGTGTTCGTGATCTTGTTTTACAAATAATAATAATACTTGTAAAACTTGTAACCATAAAGAATCTTTCCACCAAATAATCATTTAAAAGGATGATTAATAATTCAAATTATTCAAATTATTCTAATTTAAGTAATAATATACATCACAAAACGTAAAAACTCAAACTAAAAATCTTTTCATCTGCACAATCTTTTAATAATCAAGAAATTTTCTCTATGCCTGATATCATTAAATTTAATCCTTATGAAGTAAATAATAGAATGCTCTTATAAAACGGCGTTTATCATTGGGAATAAGCACCGGTGAGGTTAATAACGATGATTTGAATCAAAATAATTACTCGTACACGAGGCGAGAAGCTAGGTCACATGTTTGAGATACGATTGGCCGACACTTTAGTATATTAAATTGGTGGAAAAAACAACCGGGACAAAACCAACTAGCTAATCGACAAGTATAGCCAAGAAGTTAATTCAAATTTGGTCATAAAACATAAAACAATCGGCATTACAATTCCAAGATTTGGGTGTGAATACATACACACGTTAGAAAGAGATGTTGACACAGCAAATTTTTTTGATTTTTATTTGCGTTGATAAAAAAATAAAGGTACAAATAAAAAGAAATTATATATATATTCCCAAAAGATTTTTTTTTGTCTATTTTTTTAAAAAAAATCTAATCACAATAAATTGACAGTTCAATAATAATAAAAAAAAAAAAAAAATATAATTTTACAGTAATAATAAAGAGAATATATATATATATATATATATATATATATATATACATACATACAGAAAGAAAATTAATATATGTGTGTGTGTATATGTCTGTGTAGAGTAATGCAAATAATCAGATTATAAGAAAAAATTATTAAAAATAAAAAAAAAAAAGATAACAAAAGTAAAAAGAAAAATTATTATTATTGAAATAAATTAATTATTAATTATTTTTTTAAATAGGTTGTTTTTGTTTTAGATGGCATTTATTTCTTGATTATCAATGATATCATCTTCATCATCTTCATCCATATTATCATCATTAAAATATTCAGCCTCCCATTTTGAAGTTAATTCTTCAACAACACCACATGCACCATGCTTCATACCCAAATCTAATTTTTCCATCCATTCATCTGGCACAACAGGTATGAACTCGTTATCTTTTTCTTTACCACCGTTGTTACCATAATTTGCCAACATTTCTGTACTGGTTGGAATAGCAAAAGGTAATAATAGCTCGCTGTCTTTCATTTCCATCAATTCATCTTCATCATCCCAACTTGTTGGACCATTGGTACATTCAGGTACTGTTGGTGAGACTGTGAGATAGATTATGCTTGAAGTATCGCTTCCATCACTCCGTATACTTTCTGTTGAGTAACGTTTTTTCCTTCTTTCTGTATCTTCCTCAAGTTGTAAAATGTATTGTTGACATTCCTCTGTTATTCTTGGCTCATTCACCTCGTAACGATAATTTTTACTAACACGTTTTAATTGAGCAGGATTGACGAGACTGAGTTCTTTGGTTGTTTGAACCAATGTGGCAAAATCGGTCATTTGCGACCAACACATTAATAATTGTAAAAGTTGAATTAATGGTTTGAAATGTGATATCAATGTAATTGATAGGTTATTTGTCCTGACCCAATCCTCAACCGCGGACACATTGAGACGGATTTGCATTGCTTTAGACCTACACAAGTATTTTTTATTTGAAATAATTTTGTTGAAGAGTTCACATGATATAAAGTAGAATAGTTGATTGAGTGTTTGCTCGACAATCATTGGATGAATTCCATAAGTTTGCAATACAAATAAGGTGGATGACAGAAGAGAGGTGACATTGCGAGGTGAAGGTATGCTACGCTGTCTGGGAGAAGAAGGACGGAATGAGGGTAATTTTGATGTGGATGTAGAGGAACTTCTTTTGAGGCTTGCGCCTTTTGATGTAGCAGTGGTGTATTCATTTTGAGGGCTGCGTGATCTACGTACAAATGTTCTAAACACTCTCCATTCACCCTCAAATCTTACATCGTCAATACCAGGGATGGTGTCATATTCTAACATTGATGCTTCTAAAACTCTGTCAAGTCTTCTTTCAGCATCCCTAACCAAAAGTACATATATTTCATGCAAAAGTTCCGAGATTCTTAATTGATATTCCACGGTGGCAGCAACAAGGCCAGTATCTTTTTTCAAATAATACAATAATAAAGTACAATTTGAAATCCAAAATGATAACAAAGTCATATCCTCAGGTTTTGTCTATGCGAGCAAAGATAAATAAATGATAAGTATAACGTAAAAAAAAAAAAAAAAGAATATGTATATATGTATATGTAAAATATTATCAATTGTTATTTTGAGAAAACATACCTTGACAGTTTGGTCGATAGAATCGATAACAGAGAGTAAAAGTGTGTCTAATAATTCAGGACTACTGAAATAATGAGCAAATCTAGTACTTAGGAATATAACGTTTGCGGGTACAGGTTTTTGTGCTTTTGAACGTATTGGTTGTATATTTGTGATGACAGTTTTTAGAATGTGAAGAATATCTTCAGGAGAAAACACAAACATTTGATGTGGAAGACATTGATCCCATAAAAATTCAGTTATAAGTTGTTCTTCTTCTTCTTCTGGTGATTCGTTATCATCAATCCCCAAACTTGATAAATCAATTTCCAAATTTAAAGAACTTTCCATTAACATTCTTTTTTTCATTTCAGCTTCAGCCAATTGTTCGTATAACTTGGATTCATTATCACCACAATATGACCATCTACCTAAACTACCAGCACTTGACCAACTGTCACGTTGAGGATTATGGATGAATATTTCGGCAATTTTTTGATTTTCAGTTGGAATGAAATCAAACACGGTACGACCTTTTGCCGACTTTGCACCAGCATCAGCACCGTTATCCAAAAGTAATTTTACAGTGGAATGATGGTTATTATTCGTTGCCCACATTAAAGGAGACCAACCAACTATGATTTAAAGAGAATTATTAATTATTAGCTACTTTAGTCATTTTTAGTTGTTTTTGGGGGAGAGAGAGGGAAGAAATAAAAAAATAATAACTTACATCTATCTTGAGCATCAACTTTAGCACCAGCTTCTAATAATATATAAACAACAGATTCATGACCAAAACAAGCAGCATAAATTAACGGAGTAGTTCCGTCTTCATCTTGAGCATCAAGATCAATATATTTTTTTGCATTTTCCAACAACTTTGAAACTTGTTCAGCATTACCATTACTTACAACACGTGAAAACATTTTATTTATTTTTGTTCTTTTTTCATCTTCCGATAAAGACTCGTTTGAAATGATGAGAGACTCGTCACCCAAAGGATTAATTATAAATGAATCAACTATTGGTGAGTCTCCTTTAAGCATTTGGTCAAGTTTATTATTATTTTCACTGTTATCTTCCTCGGGTCCTTTATTTATTATTTCAATATCATCAATTGAATCATTTTTTTTCTTGATATTGTTATTATTATTAGGTTCGCTAGGCTTTATGGGTTTTGTAATTTCTTCTTGATTTTTTAAATTTGTATTCCATGGATTATCTAAAATAGCTGCTGTTGCATTATCATTACTGTTGATGCTTTCATTAAATTCTGATATTTTTTTGTTTATTAAAGCTTCTGTAGCTTTGTCAATATGACCGTTCATCATTCTAACATCAACATCTGAATATGCATTATCAAAATTGTGTTGAACTGGAAGTATTTGAGTTTCTGGCATTTTTGTTTAATAAATTACTATGTAAAAAAAAACAAATTTTCTTATTAATTAATTAATTATTATTATTAAATTATTAAAAACTATATAAATAATAATCACTTACACTTTTTTTTCTTATCTAATGTAAAATATACAAAAAAATTTGAAAATTAAATATACAAAGAAAAAAAAACTGGACGGCCGAGATGTTTGAATAATAATAATAATAAAATAATATATTATTATCAAGTATTATATATATATATATTTTTCACCCGAGAAAAATAAATTATAATATCTGTTGTTTGTAGTTGTAGTTATTGTTATTGATATGAAATCAATTCAATGTAAGATGAATTTTTTGTTTTATATATATATATATATATATAATAGGAGTCGTCCAGCGTCCTTGGTTTTTTTTTTGTAATTATTATTAATATTAATTATAACTATTAATATATTATTAACAGGATTTAGTTTGTCGTTAAGAAGTAAAAAAATATAGTTTGACGAAATATTATAGAAAAAAAATTTAAAACGAAGTAAATTTAAAACTAAAAAAAAAACGGAATTTGTTTGCCAAATAAAAAAAAAAGGAATAATACGAAAGAGATTTAAATATTGTAATTGTTTGCCTTTACTTTTTTTAAAAAAAAGAGAAAATAATAATCGTAAAAATTAACAATGAAAAAAAAAAGTTATTTTAAATTTAATTAAAAAAAAAAGTTGTTTTGAAGACGAAAAATATTAATTATAATCTTATTATATAATTAACTGACGAAAAATGAAAAATTTTTTTTTTATTTTTTATTATTAACAAAATATATATATATAATTGTATAATGTATAAATATATAATTGGGGCGAAGGATGTGTAAGAAAGGATATAAATAACAATTTTTATATAATAATAATTTTTTTAATGATTATTATTATTAACAAATATATATATAACCAAGAGCGAAAGGAATTAAAACTACTTTCCTTTGAGACATCCACTGGTGAAAAAAAAGTAGCTAAAATAGGCAGAATAAACTGCGTGCGCACCTTAAAAAATAAAATAAAACCAAGTGACGTCATGCATTAAAATCACAATATATTAAATATTGTCAAACGGTGATATACGGATCATCATTTATAACATATATGGATTTGAATATACTATTTATAGTAACAAAGGTTGCAAATTCTATGTTACACATATGAAACAAGAAAGATAATGTGACCACATGAAACTAATGAATGTAACTAATTGTTCAATGTGTGGTTGTCAAAAATCCCAAATTTAGAATTGTCAGATTCAAAACTTCCTTTTATATATATTAATGATATTTATTTAATGTGCAAAGAAGGAGGAATTTTTAATGTTTGTGCTTAATTAAATTAATTAGTTGCAAATCAATTAATTGGTTATTATTATTATTATTATTATTTAAAAATTTCATATTTTTAGAATTTATTGTTATCATCACTAATTAGAATTAGCTTCCGAACTAAAAATAAAAAAAACAGATATTAAAAATTAAAATAAACAATCGAGGATCTCGGTGATTTGGTTCCGTCCTATTTTCACTGCGTATAAAAAAACCGTATCTTTTATCCGTTTTGATAGTGTGTTATGTATTACCCTAATTTTTTTTTGTGATATATAATAAATATATTAATATTAATATGTTGTTGATAAAAGTTGGCATTTTTCTCCCTTGGATGAAAATTGTGAGTTATAACCTGTTTTTTTTGAGAACAAAGCAAGTTTTCTTTGTTTAACGTTGATGATAATTTTTGATGTTGTTGTGATTCTCTTCTCTTCTTCATTGTCATCGTCCACTAATGTTGCTATTGATGTTATTAATGAATTCAAAAATGCAAGTATCGAAATTTGAAACTTGAATAAAACTATTGAATTGGCTACAATAAGCTAAATCACGTGTGGAGAGGGACACAAAGATTTAAAATGAAAAAAAATACAAGATTGATGGCGTTAAAAAAACCAAGAATATGATTTTTTTTGTCCTGCAAAAAATATATAGAAACGATTTTCGATATATTATATTGTAAAATATAAATTATTACAAAAATTGAAAGAAGGTGGGTAAAAGTAAATTGTTAACAAACCATAACAATCGAATTTCTTTCCGCCATCCCCCCACAACCTTTATCCTAATAGGAAAGAAAATTATGTAAAGAATGAATAAATTAATGGCAATTATTATACTTTCATTGTTGTTTTGTTAGACAAAGCACAACCTTATTTATTTTCAACAACTAGTAACAACTATAATTATAATGGAAATATTTAATGAAGATAATGTTTTTTTTATGCTTAATGTTCCAATTCATTAACTAGCCAATTTCTTCTTCATAATGTTATTTAATAGTTTTCACATGAATAACCCACCAACAAATAATGTACTAAATGATGATGAGTTTTGGCTGGTGAATGTTTATAATAAACTTTTTAAGTTTTTAGTTTGCTTTTTTTTGATTGCTTGGATGTTTGGATAATATTATGATTGGTTGATGTATAATATAATAATATATTATATTATACTGTATAATTTATATTCTTGTTGTATTGGTCGAATTATAATGGTTTCACGAAAATTCGACTTATATTTGCGCTAATTACCGAAATCCACACTAATTTAATATTGATATTATTTATTAGTTTGGACCTTATCTTTATTTCTTCATTTTTTTTTCAATCAATCAAATCATATTTGCTCTCAAAAGGAATTAAGCCACATCTAGACATAATAATAATATATATATAGTAAATAGATATCAATATATACTATTGAGTTGAATTGGATGGAAGGTAAATTGATATTAAAGTGCAAAGCAATGATTTATATGTAATAATAATATTATATATTATAATAATAATTGTCCTTGGTGATTTATTCAATATAACAAAAGTTTGTTTAAATGATTATTATAATTATAATATTAATATATTATATAATTATTTTTATTTAATAAATTAATAATCTTGATTATTTTGATTATTTTTAAAATCCATAACCAAATTTTTCAAAATAACCAGGTACAGTCCATTGTCCCTTCTTGATCATTTTCTCTACAATATCATTAATCTCTGGTTTAGCTTTAACTATATCATCGACCTATATGACAATAGAAACAATAACAACAGATGATTAAATATATTATGTTATATTTATAATTTACAATTTAGTTATTACACTTTTTTAGATAAAGGAAAAAATACTAACTGTAGTATCCTCAAAAGGTCTAGCCTTTTCAATATCTGTCAAGGTTTTTTGCAATTGTTGAAATTCTGAATCAAATCTGGATACAGTTTTTTCTGCATTTGCAACCTATATGATGTTTTCAATAAAAGAAATTATAATCAATAATAATTACAAGCATCTATGTAATAAGAATAATTTTGCCAAAAAAAAACTTACAGCCTTATTCTCAAAAGTTTCAATAATATTTATTTGCTTATCCAAATCAACTTTAGTAGGTTTAAACGATTTGAAAACCTTTTCAGCCTCGTTAACTATTGCTTGATTCTTCAAAATTTTACGATAATGTTCAAAATCTACATCCTTTTTTTGTTCCTTCAATGCTGCTAGATTTCTTTTTGCCTCCTCATTACGTTTTCGAAAAGCTTGTAGTGACAGAACTGTTTCTCGTTTTAATCCAAGCGAAACTGCTACTTTTGACCAATCTATTGCTGCAGTTTTAATGACACTAGCCATATTACTATTGCTATATTATTATTACTACTATTATTAATATTATAATAATTTTTGTAGTTGTTTCTTTTATTTATTTTATAGAGAATTAAAAAAAAAAAATTTTGAAATTTCAGTAATGTTACACTAACGAATATATATATATACCCTAATAACTCTACTATTTGAAGTGGAAAACAATCGTAATTTGCCAACACTGAATCAATTGATTGATCAGTTATGTAATTGCTTAAAGGATAAAGCCAACATAATTTTCTAGAATTCTTTTTTATCCATAGTTAAAAAAAAAATCATATAATATGAAGATGCTGAACGATTAATCTTTAATCTTTGATTTAGTTTTTTAAATGTATATATACGATTCATATAATCATGATATTATTTATAAATAAATTTTGCGCGCATCTATTTTAATCTTTTTTCTGATATATTTTTTTCAATTGCTATTTCACGAACAGTAAAACTAATACAATTATCTTGGGCTTTACGTAGAGAAATAGAGAAAGACGATAAAACCATTGTACATAATTTGCAGTATTGGTAATCAAAACCCAAACCAAAAGCTACAGTGGTGCTTAAAATACCACCACAATCATCACCATTTGGATTAGGTACTTCGTCACTATCAATAATTCATATGATTTATACTGGATGCTTCTCCTTGGACTACCCATTAATTTAATATTTAACACCCTGATCATCTCCAACTGTAATTTCTTGTAATAATATCTTTGTTAAATCATTAATAATATAAATTCTATGGCCAATGTTATGCAGTCAAACCTTGTCACAGCGGATGAACAAGACACATAGGAAAATTTATTTAAAATCCGTTATGACAGTGTGACGAGGTTCGACTGTATGCCGATTATGTCCATTCATAAAGAAAATCCCAAGAAAAGCAAAAAAATACAATGTAATAGTCGGTGAATGTAAGTGTTATCACTTACCATCAATAATCATTTATCAATTCATTTAATTAGAGAAAAAAATATAGATTCCTTTTACGCCATTAAATAAATGGATTACTGGAAGGCTGTTTATGCTCTTTAAAACAATTGAAAGAACCCAAATGTAATTACAATAAAGAGATTCAGCCGAGTTCTCTTCCAATTAGTCTCCTTATCTTTGCATAACAATCTGGGGAAGCCAGTCCAACTTCTTGAATAAAATATATTCAATTTTCCTTGGTCTATTACTATCAAGAAAATACTCGTAAGATAGCACACCCTATTTTTAAAACTACTTTCTGGGGTTCTATGTTGATTATGGGGCCATTGAAAAGATTTTCATGAAAAA